GTTGGTGTCCTACTGCAAAGTCACTAAAAAAACTAGACATTTGCCATAGAAAACACTTTAGATCATTACTGAACATTTATTGGCCCCATGGTACAATATACAATGCAAACTTATACCTAAGATGTAACTCAGTAAAGCTATCAGATCGTGTCCCTAAAGCAAGGTGGAAGCTCCTAGGTCATATCTTGCGTAGTGCTGATGACTCCCCCGCTGCATTAGCGTTAAAGTTTTCTGTCACAACAAACTGTAAAGGGCGCGTCGGTGCGCATCGTAAGAATTTGTTCAAGATTATTGTGAATGATTTGACCCGTAGAGGTTTAAAACTTAACTCTTTGAATGATATTAATAAGCTCAAGATATTAGCCGATGATAGAGTTGCTTGGAGAAACAAATTTTTACTCTAGCTGTCTTGATCTGTACTGATCACCATTTTAGGATGACTTGATTTCTTTTAGGGGTTTTGAATATTTTAATGGTGTAAACAGTTTCTTAATAATAATAATTATAAGTATAAGCATCATTAATTCCTATACCAGTATAATAGTCCGTATACTAGTCTGTATACTAGTCCGAGTTTTTCGGGTTTGACAAATTATGTTAATTTCATCGGCTGCGAAATGGTCGGGGTAGATATTTTTAGACCCAGGCTAGGAAACCATTATTTCATATTCAATTTTCAGACCGTCTTATCGGGGTAACAATGACCAAGGAGACGATCGAACTTCTAAAGTACATTGAAAAGATATATCTGAATATCTCCCTTTAAGCAGACATTGAGGCTAGATTTCGACATCTCATTGTGCTTATTTAGAATCTGAATACTGAGTCAAAGACAACGTTTTTTGCTGTGAGCTTCCTCCGAGCTTCCTCCGAGTCCGAGTTGTTCGCGAACAGGGGTCGGACTATTTTGTATATTCATATGGCGAAGATTTAGGTTTTATTTTTTAAGGCAATGAAAATCGAGTTTAGTAAGAATATAAGATTAGTGTAATCTGCCAACAGTTGCACTATACGAACAAAATAAGATTTATATTGTTTGATTCCTAATATTTCTCTAGAAAAAAAGGAAAATAATTAAAATGCAGTTCCCCTGACAAACGTATAATTTTCACTTAACAAGTTTGCACAAGACGAGACTGATCGTCACAACCCAAAAGGCCCCTCCAGTTGTCCCTAATGCCGGTATCTTACTCTCTCTGGTGAGAGTAAGACCTGAGAGAATGGTTCCAACAGCAGCTGCAAGATTGAGCACTAAGTTATTCACTGCCGTGGACCTTGCTCCTAGTCCCGCGACAGACTCGCCCCATTTCTCGTACAACAAAAATTTGCTCATAATCGCTAGGTTTATTATTGCTGCATCTCCAAAGCCAACTAACACTGATCCCACTTCGAAGTCAAATCGGAAATGTAAAAACTTAGTTGTTGATCCGAATGCTAGGATGCAGCCAATGTGAAATATTATGTTCCCAAATATCATTATGTTGAAAACATTGAACATTTTCTCAGCAAGGTATCCTAATATAATAGCTGATATTAGCTGATTAATGAGAATAGGTTAAGCAAGTTAGTAAAAATAACAGCTGTTTTTAAACTTCGTCCTGTGTACATGACCATCCTAGCTGGGATGACATAAATAAGTAGGTTAAACATCATGTTATTAACAAAGACAGCTACTTCGGGCATGTAATATGCTAATCTTCTCAATGGTGTCATTTTGCTATTCTTCTGAGGTTCCTCTTCCTCTTCATAATCTTCGGAGCTATCTTTACCGTCTGTAGTATCTCTTACTGGATCCTCATGGCTTTTTATCCGTTTCATAACAGGGATGATTAGTAGTAAGGGGGGAATGTTCAAGGCTGCTACACCAGGACCAACTAAGACCCACCCTCCGTGCATATAAAGCCATACTCCCAGTATGCTACATACGATAGAAGACACGTGCATGGCGCTACTGATGATAACTATGAACATTTTGTGTTCTTTGAGATACAGATCCACTACCTCACCCTGAATTGATTAATTAAAAGCTACTACACTTACATGTACTAATTATTGTTCAATAGCTAACTTGGAAAGTTGGGAGCATTTAAAATGTCGACGATTGTCAGCAATATTTATGCCCAATGAATGCAGATGAGCAATTGATTTACCTGAACTATCTGAAATATAAGCCCAACTGAAAATCCTTGAACAGACCTCAACACGAATATTATCCCAAAGACAAGCTCTCCGTTTTGATACCTTTCAAGAACAACATCCACAGATCCCATAAGCGCGAGGAAGATAGCATTGGACACGAACAATATTTTACATCTCTTGGCTAGTGATATTGTTCTTATTGAGTTAGGAAGGTATTTGAAGAGGTAGGGACTGGCAGCTGAAGTAATCAGGGTCATCGAAATACAGACCGTACCTGAGAATTGTATTTTTAGAGACATTGTACTGAAATTGGAGTAAACAAGTATGAAGGTCCAAGGATCACTTCCATTTTCTGTCTGCAGCATTATTGTATCTACCGCTTAATTCCGTAACAAAATGGTTTTTGTTTAAAACTTTTGAATCCTAACATTTCGTGACATCTAATCTAGCAAACAGATAATGATAAATTATTTTCTTACCAAATGTTTTGTTAAGGTTTTTCTCCTCCAAAAACCGTAGGAAGAATCCAGAAGGAAATATCCTGGTAGCCAAACAGGCGACATTTCCAAGACAGGCGAAAATTAGCACTAACAACAGGTCCCTAGTCCTTGGTTTCGAAACTGAAAGTTGTTCCGGTTATAAGTGTTTGTCAACGACCAACGTGTTTACTGCTTATAGATGGCCACTTCATAAGGGGACAGGGCGCGGTGGATCATGATGATGGAGTTGTAAAATCTATGTTTACCCCCGCCCACTTATAAAAACACACACAAAACTTGTGTGTGCTTTACCTTTTAGCCTTTTAAAAGATAAGCATTTTCATCATCCTTATTGTCCTCACTAGCAAGCTCTGGTGTTAATGATTCGCTATGATATGAGTGTGATTGTGTCCTCCATCCAAACTTTTTAAATATTTTTTATTCAACGTATAATTGCATTAAACTTAATCCTTTATGTTAAAACCCCAAAGTTACCAACAACTGAAGAATGTTTTGCGAGCGTTTCAGGAGGAGAAAAGTTCTCAGCCATAGACATAAAGCAAGCGTACAATAACGTGGAGCTATCAACAGAAGATCAACTAATCACGACGATGAATACCCATATGGGACAGTATGTCTTTCAGCAATCTAATAATTCCTGAAATATAATTATATAATGGTAAGCATGATAGTATCATGCTTACCATTATATTTCAGGAATTATTAGATTGCTGAAAGACATACTGTGTATCATTGATACACAGGGACAAAAGGAAATCGCGGAATGTGCGGGATCTGCAGTCATATCATATCTGCAGTCATATCAGTGCTAGGAAAGCTCCATGCCCGTATTAATTTGCGATTAGATTCCTCGACCTCGTACATTATAAGACCTCGTACTGATATGTATTTCACTCTAACTAGCAGAAAGAACGGAGAGATGTTCTAGCAAAACTTTTAAAAAATGTTAAGACTGTCGCCCGCAGTTTATTCTCAGAATTGTAAAAGTTTCGCCCACTGAAATATCATTAATAACGTATCATTTCGACATATGACATGATAGTACTACTCTAGTAGCAGGGAATAGTGGAGTGTGCACTTCGATGTATACGATTTCTGACAACACAGGGTTGTTTGTTAGATCATTCTTAACCAAAATCGTTTAGGTACGCAATTTGTGTCGCTAGACATAACCCTACAGCATGGGCAACATCACCGGGGGGGGGGGGGGGGGGGGGGGGGGGGCAAAACATGAAAATTTATTCTACAACAGTGTAGTACTAATGTGTAGTTAAAAGAGATTGTGAAGTATGTACTGTCAAGCTTAAATTCGGACTACTTACATTAATTTGCTTTTTCTTTTAGTTGCTGCTAACATAAATTCGTGTCCCTCAAGTACTGGAAAATGCGTCAAAATTGTCTAATTTCCTTTAAAATTTTCCGGGGGGATTTCGCCCCCCTCCGCCCCTTGACCCCACTGGGGGCTGCGCCCCCAGACCCCTGCTATTGGGGGGGCTTCGCCCCCTACCCCTCCGCCCCTGGACCCCGCAAGGGGCTTCGCCCCCTTGCCCCCCCTGGGTTGAAGACATGATGTAGCCCCTGTACAGGGCAACCGGCAAGTTTTCAGGGATTTAAAAATGAGATCGGGAATGACTTCAAGGGAGTCCCTACATAGCATGGACATTAATTGTCAAAGCATTATTCATTACTCGAGTCCCGAACTATGCGGCCTCTCTGTACCTACTACAGGATGGAAAAGGTTTAAACTTTGGGTTGGAACTGGAAGGAGACAACATCGAATGGCAATCGTGGCTTTTCAAATCCTACGGACTTGAGACATCGACGACCGGTCGGTGCATCGTAATTTGTACTAAGCTGAGAAATCCGCAGTGATTAACCTCTACCGTGTTACTGAAACGGAGGAGTCATACTATTTCCAGGTGAAGCGGAACAAACTTCTAAGCCCATGTGCATGTGCTTTACATATGAATTGTGACTCAATTTAGTTAGCAGTGGCCACACACTTCCAACATGCAAGACTTAGTGAATAAAGAATATCAAAACTGTTATTTTTATTGAACAATGTTTAGTGAACTCCACTGTGCTGTAAAACAATTCAATTGTTTCGACACCAACTTTTAAACAAAAACTACCGTTTTACTGTACCATGATAACCAGCAACTTTGATATTTTTAAAAATTTACATTGTTATTGGGGTGTAACAAAGAAGATGCGTGATTAAAAGTAGATTTCATTGTATTTAAAACCTTTTCCAAATGTACACTATTAACATTTAATAACGCTGTAAAATCGGTAAACTTTGATAAATAAAATAGAAGCTCGACTCGACTTATTACAAGTCACTGATCTATCACAAAACAATTTGTGATTGACTGGCATGGATAGTAAAATCTAAGTTCTTGTGTCTGCCAGTTTTATGAAAATTCAAAAACTGGCAACACGCTATCAGTCATTTAAAAACGTATGAAAGGTGTGAGGCCAGGGTTGGTACTTGGGAGGAATACAAATCTGGTAATTAGGACTGTTCTCCTTCTTCTTTAGCTTCAGCTGGGGTCGAGATAGCGTGCCTAGTACAAGGTCACTGCATTAAAACTTTTTCATTTTGTTATTATCTATTTTTCCCGAAGAAGTTTGTCGCAGCAATATACTGATCGATTTTAATTTTATATAATTATAAACTTGAAATTTGTCTGTGAAGTAAGTATTAGAAATAATGGGACTTACTTGCAGTAGTTGCTTGAAGTGTTGGTTTTGTACATGTCACTAAGCAGCTGGTTTGTGTAATCACTACACAACTCTGGCTGGTGACATGGAAACGCTGTTGCTTCCTTCCCTGCAGTGCACAATGATATTGATAAAATAATACCATGCTGTGCATAAAATACTGTTATATGATAAATCCAACATAGCAGCACACTTTGCTCTCAGGTAATGCAATATCTTAATTAGAATTGGTTGGCATAACAACGGTCACACTGACACTAGAATTCGGAGGCACTGTCGAGTATAATACCTGTGCAGTGAGCAAGTTCTACTGGACTAGGAATTAGGATTCGAAATGAGGCGGACGAGGGTTTTCAAAAAGATGTGGAGTAAATTTTTATAACTTTATGGAATTTGAATGTTTGAAAATGATGAAAAATTAAAAGTAAATCGCAGCCCGAAATGCATACCTTGTTGTTAATATGATACCTTTATGTCAAAGTAAGTGCGTAAAATAAAACTTTTAGTTACAATATTTGCGTTGCGCGCTACGTAATTTGTATGCGATTCTGTGTTTTGCCACTGTGCACGACAAAGATTTCCCCCTATTTTCTTACATTTCTTACATCTCCATTTTTTAGATTCCCTGTTCAATAATTCATTAAGGAAATTTTGCAACACGAATAAATATTCAATAATTAGGGTTTAAGCATTCAGTTAAAGTTTGTGTAACCAGTCATGCGTGACAAATCAAACTTGCCCCCACCGCACCCCCCCCCCCCCCCCCCCCCCCCTCCGTGATACTTACTTAAAAGATACTTAATTGAGTCAGGATAGTCGGGAGCCTTTACTGCAGAGGTCATAACTTTCTGAGTTGATTCAAAGTAGTGCCCGTACTGAAAACATGATGTTTTATGAAGTACGGAACGGTTGCATTATTGTAACTTTTCACGAATAGAATATCTTGATTCCATAAGATAACGAAGATCTACAATAGTACAGAGCTAGAGGGGTGCCATATGTTTTCGCACATTTTAGCGCTCGAGTTAGCGTGCACGTCATGTGATATTGTTAGCAGTGAGTGTAATAGCGAGTCTGGAGAATTTGTCTAGTACAAGGCCCAGGCCCTTTGGCGTATCTATAGTAAATATTGTGGCGATATAACATCTCTGACACCACTAAAACCTGAGTAACAGGGTGTTCACAATATTCAACTTCGCATAGCAAACTTATGATATCTCTGGCTGCAGATTGGGCAGTATCTAGATAGCCCGACCACTGTCCGCGGACAACTGTCCGCGAACAACTGTCCACGAACACCTGTCTACCAGATCATATTACTGCATAATAACAGTATCCCCTGAATCATTCTCTAGGGAGGCCGTGGGTCCATTAATTTCGTCCATTAGACAGAAGAGTACCATGTCAGGAATTGGAATAGTTGTTGTTGTTGTTGATGATGGCAACTGATAATATACTTCACCAAAAACGAACGACTTATATACCACATTTAAATCGTAATCATTTATTTCATTGAGCAATATACTACGCTACAATCAATATTATTCGTAACTAATTATATCTGAGAGACCACATTTGAATCGTAATCAATAGTTTGATCCAGTAATTTACTACGCTACAATTAATTATGCTAGTCTGTAGTCGTAACTAATTGCATCCAAGATACCATACATACCATTAAATTTCATAACATTTGCGGTCATATGATCTGGTAACCAATCAACTATTCACATACACCTGTTGCTTGATTCAGGGGATACTGTTATTATGCAGTTATAATATGATCTGGTAGACAGGTGTTCGTGGACAGTTGTTCGTGGACAGTTGTCCGCGGACAGGGGTCGGGCTATCTAGATACTGCCGCAGATTGATCATTGACAACTCCGACAGTATTTATTTAAATCAACTGAGAAACATTTTTGAATTTTGTAAATCGGTGGTACGGAAGCGGAGTTATGGTTCAATGAAAATTGTAAGTTTAACACTGTTTGTATTGTCATATTATCAGATATGACAAAAACATATGGCACCCCACTGTACAATAACTAGAAGTACAATTTGAACCTGAGATTTAGGTTGATGTTTCTTTTGTATCTCATCAATACCAAAACACCTTTCGTTCCAGTTCCCTATCCTGGTTTTAGTTTCGTAAGCGTTTTCCGTCGTTGTGGTCCTCCAACCAAACTTCTGTACATTAGAACGATATTAGTTAAGGTGGTTTTTGCGGATAAATATAGACAGATATTTAGGCAGATAAATATAAACCCCACACAGCAAAAGGCTCACGAGGTAGCTTTATTTTGTAATGCTACTAGTATAAATGCTATGACAAGGGTCCGAGAATACAGTAGCGCAACGACCGACTCTGCTACCTTTGGGGCGGCATTTTGACAATATAATCCTAGAAAAAAGTTGTTGAATCAAAATACCTCACCCTGACTTAGCATCGGTCAACGAAAAAAGGCGGCCGGCAATGACATATGATTGATTTTTTGATTGAGGAGCACTACCCAGAGGCATTACTCGGCACTAACGCCTTAAAATCTTTAATTACAATCAAATATAAATATATGCACACAATGTATAAAATATGAATAATGTATAAAATATGAAAAAAAAATAAATAAAAAAAATAAAAAAATAAAAAAATGATTACGCTATTAGCAAATTTGAATAGTAATACTATTAAGAATTTCTAAATAACTCTTATCTCTTGACATAAATTTAGAACAGCGACACAGGGTCTGAAGAATGCGCGGTGATATTTTTGTTTTGTAAATGACAGTGAAATTGCGCGGTAGCGATAGCATTGTAGAAAATGCTCGAAGATAGTCATATTTCGTTATGAGGTTAAAGTTTTGTTGCTCGTTATTATCAACGTATGTTGTACCAAATTATTTAAATTTCTAAAAGTACGAAATTTGAGTTGTTCCAGTCCTTGTCATCCGGGTTGAGTGCTTGTGCAGTAAGCACATGCTTGCTGACTGTAGACTTGAATGAATTTAGGAATTTGTCTTGTAGGCAAGTCGTGACATATTTTATGTCCTTGTTAATAATGTTGACTGTTTTGTTATATAACTTAAGCCCAATGTAAGAAATGCTCTTGTCTGAATTACATAAACGGTTAAATGGTACTGCAAATATTTGGTGGTGCAGTGTTAGAATAAACTTTGTGCATTAAGCATAATATACATTTAGCTATCACGTTCGGTAAAGCTAATACTTCTAGTTTATTGAAAGTTTCCTTTGTGTGTGAAGGTGTACTGTTCAGATCTTTGTCATAAAAATAGCGGTGGTATTGGTTATCTGCAGCGCGAATGCCCTTTTTCTGGGCCGAGAAGACTCTTTTAACGGAGTTTAGCGATCTTGTTCCCCAAACTGTGCAGCAGTAGTACAAGTGAGACTGAACAAAGCTGTTGTATATCAACTTGAGTGCTTTGTTAGGTACAGAGCCTTTGAGTTTGTAGAGTATGCCCGCATTTCTAGAGACTTTAGTGGCTAAATGTCTAATGTGGTGGGCCCAATTTAGCTTGGTATCAATGATCACGCCAAGAAACCTTTCGTGATCACTTTGCTTTAATCGTTCACCTCCCATGTAAATTTCTATATCCTCAGTTTTCTTATTTGTAAAGATCATATAATATTTAGTTTTGCTAGCATTCAATTTAAGCCCGTTATTAGTAGCCCAATCAATTATCAAAGTCAGAATCTCATTCACCATTGCATTAAGTTGTTCAAATGTATCTGTACTTATTATTAGGTTTGCGTCGTCAGCGAAATAAATATGTTTAGCTAAATTACTAATCTGAGGAAGGTCGTTGATGTAAATTATGAACAGAATTGGTCCGAGAATGGAGCCCTGTGGTACTCCGTAGTTAAGTTTGAGGTGAGAGGACTTGCAGTTGTTGACGCTCACGTATTGCTCTCTATCGGTAAGATATGAGTGAAACCAAGATAAAGCCAATCCCCGAACTCCATAGTGCTCAAGTTTTCTCAGAAGAATACTGCTGTCAACCATGTCGAACGCCTTGCTGTAGTCCAATAGAAGCAGTGCTGTGACCTGCTTTTTTTTCTAGTGCCCTGTGGATATGGTTTTGGGCTTCTAGTAAAGCATGTTCACAGCTATGCCCAGCTCGAAATCCGTATTGAGAGTCAAATAGGATTTTCTCTGTCTTTAAGTGATCTAATAGTCGCGCTTGCATAATTTTTTCAAAGATTTTTGAGAAACACGAAAGTAGTGAGATAGGTCGATAGTTTGAAACTTCAGCACGTGACCCACCTTTGTGAAGTAGAATTACTTTCGCGATTTTCAATTTATGTGGAAACTTCCCCTGCTGTAGAGAAGCAGAGACTAGGCAGCTAAGCACTGGCGCAAGTATATTGCTCACTTTTTTCAGGGGAAGTATACTCATATCAGAAGTCGACTTAATCTTCAGACCCTTAACTATTTCAATTATTTCTGATGCGGACGAGTCTTCGAGATTCATGCTCCGCTGGCATTTGCTATCTTGAGTTTCTGTTACGATAGTCCGGCCCTCGGAGCATACGAGACCATTTTCTCTCTTAAGAGTCTCAGCTATATTGCAGAAATAGTCATTGAAGCTATTCGCAATTTGCTGAGAATCTGTTATCTCGCTCCCATTATAGTTAATTTTGTTTATCTTGATTTTGCCTTTTTTCTTTCTGTTTAACAAGTTATTAACCATTTGCCATTGTTTTCTGCTGTCGCTAGAATATTTTGTAAAGTATGCGTTGTAATATTTGTTTTTGGCCTTATCCACGTGTTTATTCACAAATTTTTTCATTTTCTTGTACCTAATATCATTTTCAGTGGTCGGGTTTGTGACAAAATCTTCATAAAATTTATTTTTGCGATCACATGCGCACCGTAACCATTCTTGGATCCACGGCTTTGTGTTTTTACGGCGGCCTGGTTTACTCTTTTTTGCCTTCATTGGGAAATTTCGGTCGTATAGTTCACTATATTTTTTCTCGAAAGCCTCAAATTTTTCATCTGCAGAATCATAGTTATTAACCAAGTTCCAGTCTACGGCAGAAATGTCGTTCTCGAACTTTTTGATGCTGTCATCGTTTATTACTCGAGAAGATGTTTCTGTTGTATCTTCTTGAAGTTTACAACTGAGCCTATTCTGATCAACCATAATTGTGACAAAAGTTGCCAAGTGGTCAGAGATTGATTCAGAAATTACTCCCGATTTTGTAACAGCGTGGCAATTATTGACGAAAATATGGTCAATGATAGTCGCACTGTGATCTGTGACTCTAGTTGGTCTTGATATCACAGGAGCGAATCCGTGCTCTGCTAAAGTGTCCACATACTTAGTAACAGAGTCTATTCTCCCGTAATCTAGTAGGTCTATGTTAGTATCACAAGCCAGTATGATATTTTTGTTTCGATGTCTTGCTAAGTTACGGAGGAAAATTTTCAATTGTTCAAGGAAACCATTCAAGTCCCCACTTGGAGAGCGATATATATTACAGATTAACGCGTTTTTGTGCCCTTTCAAGGTAAGTTCTGCAACCAAGAATTCTCCTATCTTAGGATTATCGTGGCAACATAGAGCGCTCTTAACGTTTATGTCAGATAATTCACATAGTTTTTTGTTAACATATATGACTAATCCTCCACCACGATTTGACGCTCTAGCGGGAGTCTGAACATACGGTGGATAGAAACCGTCTAGTTCGAGCTCCTCTCCCTGAAAAGGCAAACATTCCGTGTTACAATTTGTTTCATTGAAGCAGAGAACGTCGTATTTTGTGTATTGATCTATATTCTCCCGAAATTCTTCAATTTTCCCATTAAGTGACCTAACGTTTAGCGAGAAAACTTTTAATTCATACTCCTTCGTATTTTTGATCGCGTTCGCGGTATAATATTTGCAGTTATTTAGAAGACTAGACGTTGTTTCCCATGGATTCAAATCAGCATCAGTATCATCATGATCACCTATTTGATTTGATAGGTGGTCGCGATTAAAGGGGTTAAACCTAATAGTGTTACTGAAATTTATCATGTGAAGCTGTCTAATGGAGACATCGTATGCTGGGAAAATTTTTCTCAAGCATTCTTTGCAGCCTGTTGAGCCAGCAGAACATCTTGTGTGGGATAGGTTGTCACAGTAGCATCATTTGACTTATATTCCCAATTTTTGTGCAAGTGTGACATTTTTCTCGTTTATTGGAGACTTGGATTTGTATAGGACGTGATGGTGATAGAGGCATGACGGCACCCACTGGAAGAATTTCTGAAATGCAGCTGTAGCAAGACCATTCTCCAGTAAGTTCAGTTATGTCGCTAGGTGTTAGGTGAGCACATTTTGGGTGATATGTCGTATAACAAATACTACAAGTGATGCTTACCTTGTGTGAGACTAGGCGCTTTGCACAGGCCTTACAGCTATTTTTACTACTTCGGATAACTACCATTTTTTAGCTGTAAATGATACTCTTGTTTAAATGTAGATATAGGTTTGCTACTATATGTAATATAATAAAGTACACGGAAAACAGTCACTGAAAGTATCTACTCCAGATGAGTGAGCCAAGAAAATGGGGCCAGGGAAGAGTGAGAAAACGTGCGAGGTTTTGTGAACACTCTGTCCGGGTCCCTAACTTCAGCTTCTAACTAGAGAAATCAATTCAGTGAACACTATCTGGAGAACCTAGGAAAGTGGTACTATGTCTGGACTCACAAACATGGAGCAGGAGATGAGAAAACTAGTAGAGGAGGAAAAACGGATTGTGGATCAGATTGTGGAGGTGAAATTGGAAATGAAGTCTTGGGACACAAGTGAGAAAGAGGCGGAGATAAAAGAGAGCAAAGTGGAGTTGTTTGATTTGAGCGAGAAGAGAGAGGAGTGTTTGAGCAGAGTGAGAGAGTTGGAGAGAGATATGAACAGGTGGAGAGAAGAAGCAGAGCTTGAGCGAGAGGAATTGATGAGGGAACGAGATGTAAAGATGGAGAACACAAGCAACTTGTTGCAAGAAATAGCGAGAACAACTGAGAGTGGTGATTTGCAACCCGGAAATACAGAGAGAGATAAGGGAGAGTACACGATGAAATGTAAGGCGCCGAGGTACAGGAAAAATGATGACTTCTGTACATTTCTGCAGAGATTCGAGCAGTGGGTCCTGTTATGCGGAGTAAAGGACAATCTCGACTT